GCATAGTATTCCATTGTGTATATGTTCCACATTTTTTATCCAGTCCAATTTCAATGGGCAGCACGGTTGGCTCCATGTTTTTACTATTGTGAATAGTGCTTCAATAAACATGCATGTGCAGGTATTCTTTTTACAGAATGATTTGAATTCCTCCAGGTATATTCTCAGTAGGGGGATTGCTAGGTCACATATATCCTTTCTTAGATATATAGCTCGAAAATATTTTTTCCCATTCTGTGGGCTGTCTCCCTGCTCTCTTCATGGCTTCTTTTGCTTTTCAGTTTAATGAGGTCCCACTTGTCTATATTATCTCTTACGACATGGACACTTGGGGTTTTGATTAGGAATTGGTTGCCTACTTCAATTTCTGTGAGGGTGTCTCTTGCGTTTTCTAAGATTCTTAGAGTTTCAGATTTCACATTTGGGTCTTTGATAATTAGGTCAATTTTTGCCAGGAAAGGACCTTTTGTAGTTTTTGGAAGCAAATCCCCAGGGTGGGGTAGGACTTGTGCTTAGGAAGGAAGTCTGCCGTCTACACATATGGTCTTTGCTCTTATAACAGATGGCCAGCAGGAGGCGCCTTCCCATGGCCGTGTGTTGTCCACCCACCCTGGATTCAGATGTTTCCTTTTGCTTTTAGCGGCTATTACATCATTGTAACAGGAGCATTTCCTCAGGTCTCAAAAATGTACATAGAATATATATATTCTATGGCCACGCACAGACACAAACTTGCCTACCAGCACTTTTGAAAATCTTAGAATTCCATTTAACTTTGCTGTCTACCTGTGGCTTTACACCTCCAAAACAGAAATCCCACAAAACCAGAAACATTAGCTTAGTAAGGCAAGTGAGGGATAATATGACAGAGTGGACAGATTCAGTAAAGCAGGACTGAAGAGGATGTGGAGGAAAAGTACCAGGTGCCAGGAGTAGCCAATAAGTGTCATGTGTCTTCATTTCACTCTAGGAGAGGACTCCTTCTCTCAGATATTTATAGCTACCACTGCTTGCTGACAAATCAACTACTGGAACATAAGGACTGATGGTTTTCCATATATTCCAGGACTTTTCCCAGAATTCCAAGAAATGACAGCTTTTGACAGGCATTTCTGATAAGTGGTAGGACAATTGCATACAACTTAGTAGACAAATACCATTCTGAGAGATCTATATTTAAAAAGTAAGGAGATGACTGGGAGCGGTGGCTCACGCCTGTAATCCCAGCACTTTGGGAGATGGAGATGAGAGTATTGCCTGAGTCCACGGGTTCGAGACCAGCCTGGGCAATTTGGAGAGACCTCATCTCTACAAGAAATCAAAAAATTAGTAGGTGTGGTGGTGCATGCCTGTAGTTCCAGCTATTGGGAAGGCTGAGACAGAAGGATCCCCTGAGTCCAGCAGGTGGAGGTTGCAGTGGCCATGAGCATGCCACTGCACTCCAGCCTGGGCAACAGAATGAGATTTCAACTCAAAAAAAAAAAAGGAGATGGTAACCACATGGTAAGAACTCATTCACTGGAAGTTACACTGCTAAGTTCTTAAAATGCAATATGTGGGTCTAATACAACAACTCTGAATATTTCCACTTTTCATTTGAGCAACTGAGGCCCAGAGGAGTTGCCTATGATCACACATACAGAACTGGTAGAATGGAAGAAAAATGCAAAATATATATTGGGGATATAAATGTTTGCTAAATTTAACAATTTTTAAAAGTCTGAGTTTACATTATTATTATTTCTACTCTCGTTATTATTATTTTGAGTCAGGGTCTCACTCTGTCATCCAGGCTGGAGTGTGGTGGCATGATCATGGCTCAGGTGGCCTCGACCTCCTGGGCTCAGGAGATCCTTCCATCTCAACCTTCCAAGGAGTTGACCTACAGGTGTGCCACCAAGCCTGGCTACTTTTTATAGTTGGATTTGTTTGTTTGTTTGTTTCTAGAAACGAGGTCTCATTATGTTGCCCAGTCTGTTCTCGACCTCCTAGGCTCAAGTAATCCTTCCTCCTCAGCCTCCCAAAGTGCTGGGATTACAGGCATGAGTCACTGTGCCCAACCTACATGATTATTAAACTCACGATTTCTTCCTCTCATTCTTATTTTGTTGGCTATAATTGCACACATCCTGTGCAGCATTAGTTTGTAGTTTACATTATTACTTTGTATCCAGTTACTGTTCTTTGTCCTAGGTTCTGAGAGAAAGATTCTCTGATCTGGTTTCAATCATTTCTTTTTATCATGTGTCTCATCCTTTGATATACTTTATAATCAACCCTTTTGGAATACACAAAAGTTTCTGATTTTTATGAAACTACAGCTCTCTACTGCAAAACAATTCGAAAGTTAATTAAGACATAACATAAGCAATAGTATTTTAAAAATAGAAATATAATTCTTGGCCCTAGCTAGCTGAACCAGAAGAATGAAATGTTTTAAAGTATTAGTAATAAAAAAGTATAGCCATGAAGAAAGTTCAGCAATCGTAATTAATAAAGGAAATAATCTTAAAAAGTTGTATTATCAGCAATAATTATATTTATGGTGAAGATTATCAGATGTTAATAATAAAATAAAATTTCAGTAAAAGAGCCTAGGAATATTGCCTGATACTCTAACAGGTAGCAATTTATTTTACCACTCATAGAATAGATTAAAACAATCCAGATGGACTACAGAATTGTAGGATGGCTAGAGTTAACAATAATATATATTTCAAAATAGCTAGTTGTTTTTGAGTGTTCTTCATCACAAAGAATTGGTAAATGTTTAAGATAATATATGTCCTCATTATCCTGATTTGCTCATTACACAATGTATACATATATTTAAACAACACTTTGTGCACTATAAATATGTACAGTTATCGAGTGTGAGCCATATATTTTTAAAAAGAATTAAAAAAGAGTGTAAAAACAAAGTTACAAAAGAGAACTGAATATATGTCTGGTCAAAGGAAAAAATATAATTAGAGGGGAGCTTGGTTCTCCATGCTAGACATTCCATCATTTAAATTAAAAAAGGAACTTTCCAGCTCTTTGAACACAGATGAAGTTAAAACAAGTGTCCATTACAAGGATATGGCTACAATCTTCAGAAAATGTATATGTAAATGATGAGAAACAAGAAGATCAAATAAATAAATCATGTAAGGGACCAAAATAAAAACTAGGACAAATTAAATAACATAATAAAATGGAATCTGATTGTAAAATATGATTGAAAAAAATTAAAATTAGCAAGCAAATGGGTAGCCATTGATGCTCAGTACAAAATAATATTAATTAGTTAGAATATTGATAAATTTCCATTTATCCAAATAATATTTAAATTAAATATATATATATATATAATATATATATATATTTATTTTTTTTTGAGTTGGAGTCTCATTCTGTCACCCAGACTGGAGTGCAGT